TTTTTTAATACGTATGTTAATCATCCACATATTTGTATTTTTAAGCTTTTTTTACTAGTATAAAATTTGTGAATCCCGTGATTAAAGATATATGAGTCCTGCGAGAACTGTAGCGGACCAGACAGATGTCAAAAAATATATGTTTACTAAATGAGTTCCGCAAAATATGCCGAATTTTAGATGATTATCTATATTGTTATATTTATATTTATTTGAAATCGGTAATATTCTTAAAATCTACAGAATCTCCGATTGTGATCTGCAGAGGTCACATCTTTTTGCAAAGCGCACTTATTTGTTTTTTTTTTTAATTTTTGTGAATCTCATGATTACTGATCGAAAATATGAATTAATAGACAATTTAGAATCGTCGATTATCATCACAAAATCGAAAACAACGATAAATTTTATTTTCGAATATGTAGTAATTGTCGGATTATCACATGATAATCCAGAGCACAACCTTACTACTATAACGGATTAAAAAAAATAAAAAAAAACGTTCTTACACTGAAGTTTTCTAATTTTTTTGCATTAGTAACATGAGTAAAAATTCTATCGTAACTATTAATGATGAAATTACAAAAAATGCTCTTGATGAAAAAAATACAAATAATTCGCCTGAATTTATTATTCAGGAACTTCTAAAGTTTGACAATCAACGTCTAAACAAAGTGATTGTTTCTACAGTTATCATGAAGTTAATGGATAATGAAAAGAAAAAAATGGATGAAAAGAAAGGGAAGAACTGGTCGGGGTTACATGCCATGTGCTACAACCCGTGCATTCAAATTATGGGATGAATGGCATGGATCGGGATCAAAGAACGAATAAGTTAATTAAATTGCATGAATCAACATGCAACAAAGAAATACACAATAGATAAGCCACCGACATATAAATAGCTGACAAAGAAAAGTCGAGTTCAATACTCTTTCCCACTTTGGCACAATAGTCTTCGGCAAACAAATTTCTTGACCCACCTCTCCAACCGCATACTGTAATCTCCTGATTCTGCCATTTTCCTATTTAACAGTCGGCCTGCTTCGAGCAGGCGGGAAACCACCGGCTGATGCTGCTT